TTCAAACATTTAATATATACATTTTTTTATAGAAGATGGGGCAAACGAGCATGCGGCTCACCTGATGTTAAGTGACTACCGCCGCCCATGATCAACCGCAACACCAGGGGAATTGCAGGTGCGTTGCCGGCCCTTCAGAAAGGAGTAAGCTCCTTTCTTGAAGGTCCCCAGGTCGTATCGGTCCGGAAAAATCGCCTGTGGTAAGCTATTCCACAGAGAGGTTGTACGCGGAAGAAAACTCCTTTTGAAACGTACAGTGGTGGACTGTCAAGCATCCAGATGGTGTGGATGGTATCGGAACGTCTGCCGCGTAGTGCGTTCACGAAATTTGGCGGCTGGGATTAATCCGAACAATTCCTCAGAGCACTCTCCATGGTATATGCGAAAGAAAATGCAAAGAAATGCAACATCTCTTCGCAGTGCCAGTGAATCGAGCCGATCGGAAAGCACTCGGTCGTCTACGATACGAGCCGCCCTGCGCTGGATGCGATCAAGTGGAAGGAGCTGGTACTGGGGAGCCCCAGCCCAGAGATGGGAACAGTATTCCATGTGCGGCCGAACCTGCGCCTTGTAAAGTTGCAGGCGGTGTGCCGGCATGAAATACTGTCCCGCTCTGCTGAGCACGCCAAGCTTTTTAGAGGCCAATTTGGCCTTCTCTTCCAAGTGACCACGAAACTGCACGTCACTCGATATGTCGACGCCGAAGGTTCCGATACTGGCTGAGGCAACAAGGCGAGTGCTTTGAAACTGAGTAGATACGACAAAGGGCAAAGAACAAAGTTCTTTTTAGCGGTTAACGCGCAAACTTGTGTCTTCTGGGGGTTAAACTGGACTAGATTTAGTCGCCCCCAATCTGAGACTCTGTTCAGCGAAGACTCGACTTCAGACACGAGTTTTTCCCGGCACTCGGAGACGTTTTCCCGAGAAATATTGGCTCGGCCGGTGTAAAGAGCATCACCAGTGCTGTCATCCGCATAGCAATGAATGTTACGAGTTTGCAACATATCATTGATATGCAGAAGAAACAGCGTTGGCGATAGCACGCAGCCTTGTGGAACACCAGCATTAATAAGCTTGCAATCGGAGCTTGCACCGTCTACAACGACCTTGATGCTCCGATCTGCAAGAAAGCTGGTGATCCAATCGCACAATTTCTCGGGAAGCCCATAGGAAGGGAGCTTCGAAAGAAGCGCTTTGTGCCAAACCCGATCGAAGGCCTTCGCAATGTCCAGACTAACGGCCTATGCCTCCCCCTTGGATTTTACTGCCTCCACCCATCTGTGAGTTAGGTAGATCAGAAGATGACCAGCTGACAGATCACGGCGAAAACCGTATTGGCGGTCACTTATCAGCTGGTGATCCTCAAGGTACCTCATGAGCTGGCAGTTTACAATGGACTCCATTGTTTTGGAGAACAAGGAGGTGATGGCGATAGGCCGGTAGTTGGATGGGTGTAAGCGGTCGCCTTTTTTAGGGATCGGGTGGACGAAAGCCGTCTTCCATGATTTTGGTACTACGCCTAGGGAGTAGGAGTACCGGAAAGACGCGTTAAAACCGGTGCCAACTCTGGAGCACACGTCCTCAGCACAATTGGGGGGATTCCGTCAGGCTCACTCGACTTGTGGATGTCCAGGGAGAGGAGTGCTTTGCGAACCGAGCACTGTGTGCACACTTCCAGCATGGAGGACTCACAATGCGGAATGGTCGGCGGCGTACTCCCCCCGTCATCGAGAGTCGAGTTGGACGCAAAGAAAGAGCCTAGAAGATCGGCTTTCTTCTTCGCGGTATGTCTCGGTATAACAAAACCCCCTACACGGTGTTGATATGAGACTTCAACGCAAAACTAGGCACAAAAGAAAGCGGTGAGGCTAAGTTAGGGAAATTTGAAGTAGGGCAACGGAACTGTACGGGCCAGAAGCTGGCCGACATTATGGATAAAGAGGGAACTCTTTATGATGAACTCTTTCTTCCAGAAGCGGCCCCACAGGAGGTGGACCTGGTCGAGCCCCGACGGTTCGACAAAAAATGAGACCACACGCCAACTGTTCAGTGATGTCTCAGTGATTGCGAGGGTGAAAACTGGCAGCGATCACCGAATGGTTAGAGGCACACTGAACTTAAACCAGAGGTCTCGTCTAGTGAAGTCAACGCTCCGTCCCCCTCGTGCGCTAATCCAGGGTACCGAAAACTTTCAACTCTAATTACAAAACCGTTTTCAGTGCCTAGAAGACTGCAATACAGTGGACGATATGAATGACAAGCTCGTGGAAACTGTCCATACGGTTGGAGCTAAGACCCGCCGCAGAAGAACACGAAAACTCTCCGATCACACTCTTAATCTCATGGATGTTAAACGGGCAATGAAGCGTCAGTCGTCAGCAGATTTGACAGCATACAGGCAACTGAACAGGCAGATCTCCCAATGCATGCGGCAAGACTTATGCAACTTTAATATAGCTTGTATTGAAGAAGCGATTGAGCGAAACTAGGGCTTTGCCAGAGATCTGTCTGCTAGTAAGAGCCAACTGTCAAAGCTGAAGACTGAGTGTGGCAGCATCGTTTCCGGGACATCTGAGATTCTGAGTGAAATTGAGAGGTTCTATGGGCAGCTGTACACATCATCGTTGGAGCCACACGCAAGTGTGATTAAAGATCCAAACGCAAGTCTTAACCGACACTATTCCTATGATATCCCGGACGTCAGTCTCAGCAAGATTCTGAAGAGCTTCTGAAAGCGGGTGGAAAACCGGTACCGGAAGTCCTTCAGAAGCTCTTTAATTCCGTCCTCAATAGAAGCACTACTCCTGAGGCGTGGAGCAGAAGTGCGGTGGTCTTGTTCTTCAAGAAAGGTGACAACGCCCTCTTAAAGAACTACAGACCGATATCCCTTCTGAGCCGCGTCTTCGTGCTGTTTTCGGGAGTAATGACTCTCCGTCTGTTTGTAACGACGAACCGTCTCGCACGCAGACTTGACGACTTTCCAGTCTCAAGAACAAGCCGGTTTTCGAAAAGGCTTCAGTACCATCGACCACATACATATCCTTCCGCAAATTGTACAGAAGTCCTAAGTGGCGTATATGGGCTATGAGAAAGCCTTTGATTCCGTAGAAATTTGGGCTGTGCTACAGTCTCTTCAGCGGTGCCAAGTTGGCTGTCGGTACATCGAAGTGCTGAAGTGTTTGTATAGTAGGGTACGATGGCTATCCGAGTACAGAACCAGAGTACGAAACCTATCCAACTGCAGAGAGGTGTAAAACAGGGTGACATTATTTCCCCGAAACTCTTCACTGCTTCATTGGAAGACTTTTTCAAGCTACTGGACTGGAAAGGATACGGTATTAACATCAATGGTGAGTACATCATTCACCTTCGATTTGCCGACGATATAGTCCTTATGGTGGAATTGCTGGAGGACTTAAGCACTATGCTCAATGACCTCAATAGTGCCTCCCAACGGACAAAACAAAGATCATGTTCAATGTACATGTCAGACCTATGCCGGTAGTTGTTGTGAGCAGTAAGCTCGAAGTTGTTGACGAATACGTTTACCTGGGACAAATAGTCCGACTAGGTAAGTCCAACTCCGACCGAGAGGTCAATCGACGGATTCAACTCGGCTGGGCAGCGTTCGGGAAATTACGACACACTTTTTCGTCAGGTGTACCTCAAAACCTGAAAACTAAGTTGTTCAACCAGTGCGTGTTGCCAGTGATGATCTACGGAACCGAGACGTGGTCCTTCACTGCTGGCCGTATGAGGACGCTCAAAGTCGCTCAGCGAGCTATGGAGAGGGCTATGCTCGGGGTTTCTCTGCGTGATAAACTTAGAAATGAGGATATCTGCAGTAGAACTAGAGTGACCGACATAGCCCAACGGATTAGTAAGCTAAATTGGCAATGGGCCGGCCATATAGCTCGAAGAACTGACAACCGTTGGGGAAAAAAGGTTCTCGAGTGGCAGCCTCCTACCAGTAGGCGAAGTGTATGGCGTCCCCCACTAAATGGAGTGACGACCTGGTAAGACATGCAAGAAGTTAATGGAGTGAGCAGGTGGCTCAGGACCGTGATTTGTGGCATACCTTGGGGGAGGCCTATGTTCAGCAGTGGACTTGTGAAGGGCTGTAATGATGATGATGATGATGGTGACAAATCTCAAATTTTTTATCCCCTAAAATTGAATACTACCTTCATCAGCTGTCCATTTGGTTAAGTTATTGTCAAAATCTCCCATATGGGTACTTCGCAATGTGACGCATTAGCAAATTATGAAGATTATGTGAACAAAATAAAAGTCAGACTAAGCTGTATGGAAATAGATTCTTGTGCCTAGCGAAAAAAGCAGTTATCAATGGGTGCGTTTGATAGAAAAAAGCGCTAGCAAGCGCTTGTAAGCAAAATGGCGAAACTAAACAGTTTTAGGTCAGGACATGTTTGCTAACTTCAGTAGCGCTGACACAATCCGCCATTTTGCTTATTTAATTTGTTTGTTTTGAAGTAGAGTTTATAGGTTGTTTTGTGCAATATTAGTTTTAAGTAATATAACGACATGAATAGACATATACATGTTATTAAAAATTCATGATTGGTAAGTTTTTAATATGAATACTTTACAAACATATATTTAAATTAGGTTAGGTTCCCCAGTTAAAACCAACTTCGTGTCCTAGAGGAAAATAGCTACTCACGATTTGATAGCGCTTACCGCTTACGATCGCCATTTTGCTTACAAGCGCTTGCTAGCGCTTTTTTCTGCCAAACGCACACTATAAACTATAAGTCAAATAGCAAGCGACATTGACAAGCAGTGTGCTGTAAAAATTCAAAACATTATAATTTATACGTTAACCGCTGGCATAATATAAATTATGCTAGTGGTGGATTGTGCTCAGCTCATAGGCTCAGCTGCTCAGAGTATAATAAAATAAGTATATACTGGTGCTGGTAATTGTTTGATGAATAGTGAACATATTTATTTATTAGTCCTTTTTATGAATAAACGCAATGAGCAAAAGAGCCTTAAAATTATCGGAAGAAGGCGCACATTTGAGTGCAAAACAATCTAAAAAACATTGGTCATTAGGCTTATTAGATTCCATGAAAGATCCGGACTTGATTTATAAAGAAACTGAACGTGTTGTGATTATTCGGGATAAATATCCCAAAGCAAAAATACATTACCTTGTGTTACCTAAAGATAATATTACTAATATTTATAAATTGGAAAAAGAACATGTGTCTCTGCTAGAAGAATTTGGTGAATTATTTAAAAGCATTCAGGCCGAGTATAAAAGTCACATACTTAATGCCGGCTTTCATGCCGCGCCCAGCATGCTAAGACTTCATATGCATATTATTAGTAAGGATATGGTGTCACCATGCTTAAAAACGAAAGTACATTGGAATAGTTTCACTACAACATTTTTTAAGCCATATAAAGGTAAGTTTATATAATGCGAATAAACTTCATAATAATGCTCTAGTATACGAGATGAATTTCAGGGTGATGATTTTTAATCAACTGTCAATTGATTTGTTTTTTTTTAATATGTATAGTTCACCACTCAAATAAAACGCATAGTTATTAAACTGGCTAAAAAAATAAACTTAACAAAATAACTCTATGTATAATATTAGAAGGGTTCTGCAGTCTTAATATATTGTGTCTTACTAAGTTACGGTCAATGAATACGGTTAATTGTTAGTCGACTTTACAGATACCTAAAATGGACAAGACTCTGTTTATGGCTGGAGCAGCATCAGTAGCGGCTGAATTTAGTGATGGCACAAACATGAGTTCCTGAGACTTACACTATGGACTTGTGGTAGACTATAATGATGATAATGATAGATTATTCCCACTCCACTTACTGATCTTTTTCATCATCAATGGTAATTTCATTTTCAGTTATTGACTTTTATTTATTTATTTAATATTCTTTATTGTACACAAGACCATATAAGTTGATCTTTGTTAAGAATTCTATAGCCTTAACGAAGATGTTTACAGTAGAACCAGAGTAACTAACATAGCCCTACATATAATACAGTAACACAACATACAACTACAGTAAGCTGACTCCCCTCCTCTACAATAGGTGGAGTAAACCTAGCAGGACATGCAAGGAGTCGGTGGAAATAGGTGGTTCATGATCATGTTTTGGGTATTCCTATGTTCAGAAGTGTACATGCAAGTGGCTGTAATGATGATGATGTGATTTGCGGTTCTAATGACACTGGGTTTATTTACTCATATATTATGTGGTGATCTATCACACATCAACTTGAAGGCAGCTGGTCAATGTATCGCGACAAATTAACATTTATTTAACATTAATTTCCCCATAATATACACAATTGTAAAGATATTATATTGTTTGACTGTGCAAATACCACAGATTTTAAATACTCTGAGGTAAGTTACTCTGAGCGCCACCATCTAATCTAACCTTCAAAATAATGTGGCATTAAGTTTTAAGATGTTTTGTCTTGAACTTTCTCTGTGTGCACAACCATTACATGTAGAGGTTATATATAAGAGTAGATAAGAGTTTATGTTGAACGCTTATACATACAACGATAAAAAGACTATCTTATTCCAGATATCTTGGAAGAATTAAAAGAAAATGGATTTATTAAAAAAATGGAAAATGATGTTCATAAAAGTTTAATGGCTACACCTCTCAAGTGTAATCAGTGTAATTATGTACCTAAAAATATGCCACAACTTAAAGATCATTTACTAAGTCATGAGTAACATATTATAAATGTTTTTAATTTTTTGTAAATATTTTGTTGTATTTCGAAAATGTTGTTAAAAATTATACAGAGCCTTGATGTAACATTTATCATTTATTAAAGACATGATAAGAAATAACACTCATACTTTTGCTCTCTCCCTTCTATAATCCCTACCTATACTATAATTTAAAAAACAGCCCAAGAACAGCTTGGGGACGAACGGGTCAGTGAACTAGGGCGATGCCATAGTCACATACTGTAGAATACCGACGCGAAGCAGTAGTATTCATTTATTTATATAAAACTAGTTTTTACGGATTATATCATGTGTAATACAAGCGATATAATCCGTACTTATTTTATAATCCTGACGTTTTGAGCACTTTACAGCACCCACTGGTTCTTTTTCTATACACAGTGTGTCTCAAGGTGTTACCAGGATTCCGAATTAATAACATATCTAGAAGAGTTGAAGAATTGTTTGCCTCTAACTTCTAGCTTTTCTAGATGTATGTTCTAGCTTTTGTAGATGTTGTAGTACTTCAAACTGCCGAAGAAGATTAGTCAGCAATTAGTATATTTATTATATATATATATATATTTTTACCATCAGTCAAGTGTAATGTGCCTCTGCAACATGCAGGAGTGTACAAGCTTGATTGTGAATGTGGTCTCTCTTACATAGGACAAACATTTAAGAACACAGCTGATGTGAAGAATTGACGCTCCAGGAAGCCTGCAGTTTGTGAACACGTACAAGATTGCCCCCTTCTCTATTCCTTCCAAGGATTCCTTCCAAGGATGATTCGCGAGGCTATTGAAATCAAAACACATCCTAATTTTAATAGAAAAGATGGCTGGATGATATCATCTGCTTGGGATCCTATAATTATTTATTTAAAAACTTACATGTAACACCTTAAGCTAAAGGGTACATAGGGCGGACTTAATGCCATGTGGCATTCTCTGCCAGTCAACCCTGGGTGCCAAGGACAATTGTTGGCAGGTGCGACCATTATACATAAATAAGCGAACATACATACACATATATTAAAATATACATATGTGTATACAAAGTACATACATACGCAATACATTTAAATATACACACATATAGTATAAATATACGTACAATAATACATACATACATATATATAAACTATATATATAAATACATGCTTATAAACTTCGTAAATATCCAATATGTATCCAATATCCGATATATATAATATCCAAATGAATGATATTATATATTTGAATAATATATAATGAAATAAATATTTGAAGTAAAAAAAAGAAGAAAAGAAAGACAAGAATTAAGGAAAAATATTGTCAATTAGTAGTTGCCTTCAGGTAATGTTCTCGAAGAAGAACTTTGAAAACTTTTTTATTTGAGGCATTGTATCGTAAAAGACGACCTAAAAAAATTAGACTTATGCTGTAGAAACCTTAACCTCAGACGGTTTGACTGTCGGGATGTTCGACCGTCGATCGAATGAAAAAAATGAAAATTATCCTTAAGATAAGAAGGCGACCTTGGATCGTTTAAAATTGAATAAAGTACAAGTAAAATTCTAGAGCATCGCCTTTAACGTAGGGGAGAGGCGTACAAATTACAAAATGACATAGGTGGGTCAAATGACATACCTACCTACTTTTCTCCGAAACCACAGACTTATTAGTTCTCACAATGGCTTGTAAAGGATCGCGGTCACCAGTCGCGTTCGTTGAGCCGTTGGTGCGGACACATGTTTGTTTAATTTTTGCAGTCACGAGTTATAAGCAGGGGTGGATTTTGTTTCTCGTACAAGTAGGTTTTACTTTAATTTGTGTTTTTAGCATTTATTTATTGTAATTTTACTAAATAACTTCGAGAATGTTTTGGAAACTCAAAATTCTAGTTAAATTTTTCGTTATTTTTTTCTAATGTTGAAGGTTATGAAGTGGACAAAATGGCATACACCTTGTTCGGGTAAAATAGCATACTATGTCATATGACCCACCTTTTTTTTCTTTTTTCCAGATAATTGTACATCATGCCACGCAACTATTCTAGAAAAACAGACCGAAAGGATTGGGATAAAACCTCCATGGAAAAGGCTATTGAAGCTGTAAAGAATAATGAAATGGGCTGGCTATTGGTTTCTAAAGTGTTTAACGTCCCACAATCGACTCTAAGAAGACATGCACTGAAACAAAATAAAGTCTTAGCTCCAACTACAAAAGGTACCTACTTAGTATTTTTTAATTTTCGCGTTTTGTTCGCATGATTAGAGCGGATTTAACTGGTGGAACATATTAAATTACTAGAAACGAGATTGTTTGGATTCACAAGAAAGGAAGTTTTGGAATTGGCGTACCAGTTTGCAGACGTTAATAATATTCCTCATAACTTCAACAATGAAAAAAAGATGGCAGGCAAAGAATGGTTGGCTGCATTTTGACGCAGACACCTGGACATATCCTTGAGGAAACCTGAAGCGACTTCAGCTGCAAGAGCCCAAGCCTTCAACAAGCCCCAAGTAGCACTGTTTTTCAACACTTACCAAGACATTATTCAGAGCAACAACATTTCTCCTCATAGGCTCTACAACGTCGATGAGTCAGCATTATCAACAGTCCAGAGACCCCAAAAGGTCTTTGCTACTACTGGGCGTAAGCAGGTTGGGGCTTTGACTAGTGCTGAAAAGGGGTCTCATGTGACAATTGTTTGTTGCATGAGTGCAAAAGGCCATTTTATCCCGCCGTGATTAATTTATCCTAGAAGAAATATGAAACAAGAGTTGATAGACGAAGCTCCTATCGGTACTATGGGTATTGCGCAGGAATCAGGTTGGATGACAACAGCTGTATTTTATAAATGGTTGGTGCACTTTCAGTTGCATGTAAAAGCGAGTCTTGATGACAAAGTGCTTTTAATAGTTGATGGACTTATCAGTCATAAAGGTATTGAAAGCTTAACATTCGCAAAAGAGCATGGAATCATTATGGTGTGCTTGCCACCTCACTGCACGCACCGCATGCAACCATTAGACGTATCTTTCTATGGTCCATTGAAGACTTATTTTAATCAAGAAGTGAGCACTTGGTTAAAGAGCCATCCAGGTAGAGTTGTTACTCACTTTCAAATAGGCGCAATACTCAACAAAGCTTATGGCAAAGCAGCAACGGTTCAAACTGCCGTCAATGGATTTCAAAAAACTGGTCTCTGGCCTGTTGATCCATACATATTTCCAGATTATTTGTTTGAGCCTGCTGAGACGACAAACATTCCCATGCAACAAGATCGGGTAGAGCCCGAAGAAGATTCAACGGCAGCAGAAAACCTATACATACCCTCAGCGGGTCCATCTCAGGTAGAAGCAGGGAGTTCGACATCACTAATAATTGCAAGCACATCAGCCGCAGACAACCCAAGTCCACTCTCAGTAGTCCAATCTAGAGACACAGCTACTGCAATACCTACGACACCCACATCATCTAAATTGATACTCCAAGAAATATCTCCAGTGCCAAAAGGAATTTATGTGGCTGGACAAGGTAAAAGAAAACCACGCAAGAAACCAACAATATTGGTGTTAACTTCAACGCCAAATATAGAAGAGGCAAAAGCAAAATCAGCTCCTCCATCTGTACCAAAGAAAAACACGAGAAAGGTTACAAAAGCTCTGGATTTTAGTTCCGACAGTGAAAATGATTTCTCTTCCTTACAAGCTCACACTGAAGCCGGAGATGATGATGAAGATTGTCCTTGCATTTATTGCAATGACCTCTACTCCAGGTCCAAGCCAAAAGAGGTCTGGCTAAAGTGCTTGAGCTGTAAAAGATGGGCTCATGCATCATGTGCAGATGTTCCGAAAAATACAAAACGTTTTACGTGTGAACTCTGCATGTAATCGACTGATTTTCATAAAAAATTTGGTATGCCATTTTGTCCACACCACGTGTGTCATTTTACCCGCCTAGGGTCTACCATAACGGTTTTTGTTCAAGTTTGAAAAAAATATTAATAATTCTATTGTTTTTGCACTAAGTTGATTGATCTCTATAATTTTAATAGGTAATGAACCAAAGAATACATAGTTACTTAAAGTGTTCACTATTATTAATAAATATAGATTTGATGACTGATTTTATAACTAGTATGTCATTTTGTACGCATCTCCCCTATAGGTAGCCATTTAAGCTTTGAACCATAGGATGATATGTGGTCATACTTACGTAAACCAAAAATAAACCTTATGGAATTGTTAAGAAGGCGCTCCAACTTGTTTAGAAGATTTTCTGACAGATCTGGGTAACATACATCGGCATAGTCGATAATAGGTAGAATGAGGGAATGAACCAGCGTAAGCTTGGTTTTGAAAGATAGGAAATTTTTAAGACGATAAAAGGAACGCAAGGTAGCAACAACTTTACGACTAACTTCAGAGATCTGCAATTTCCAGATCATAGTTTTATCCATGTACAGGCCAAGATTTTTTATGGAATCACAATATGGAATCAAAGTTCCATTATAAATTACAGGAGAGAGATTTCCATAATCAACCTTAGCCAATAATTGCGAACTTCCGATTGTTATAACTTTGCATTTAGCAGGATTAACAGAAACGCCATATTTACATGACCATTCTCTTATGGCTCCCAGGTTATCATTTAGTTTGTGTATTACAAAGTTAAGATTATTTAAGCCTGACTGTACATACTCGTAGATCTGGAGATCATTCGCATACAGATGCATAATTAATAAAATTAAATCACAACCCAAGAAAACAACTGCAAGACTTCAAAATACTATAAGTTCATACTGCGTGGATAGGAACAAAAACTAATAATTTTAATCTGGAGGTAGCCATTGAACACCTCAGTCCTCCCTGTGACCATGGGTGTTGTAAAGTGCTCGAAACGCCGGGAATATAAAATAAGTTAATATACGCGATATAATCCGTAAAAACTGTATAGAATACTCCTTTATTTATTATATTAACGTTCATTATGCCTAGTGAGTACAAGTAACCACACAGCCCTCCCCTACAAAACATGGTATGTATGAAATAATAGACTACTGAGAGTAGCAACACCCATACCCACCCTAGATCCGTCTGCTCTGTACATAAACCGTACAAAATACACAAACGTACCGTGTATTGGCGAAGTAAGAATATCCACTACCCCACATCATCCCGTGGGTGTCATAAGAGGCGACAGCGGGAAACAAATCAGGAGATGGACAGCAGTATCTTCCTAATTATAACTAAAATAATGCGGCTGCCAACCAGCTTTCCTAGCGTGACAGCTATGGCAAACATCCCTATAATGAGGCAGTCTTTGGGGGAGGTCTATGTTCAGTAGTGGACTTTAATAGGCTGTAACTGTAGTTTAGTTCACGACCGGCTGTATACCGCAACTTCACGTCTAGGCGCGTAGTTTGGGTGTACTAATATTCTTGATATTGTGATTACTACTACTAGTATTTGGGCCATGAAATTTCTCCGAAGAAGTTTGATAGTCCTTTGATATTGCGAGCAACTTCGGGGAGTGATTCCGTTCCTTCCTCCCCAATACACGCCCTGCACAGGGGACTATCTACATAACCTATTTAATCGTTGATGGAATTCCTATATTGAACTCGAGTTCACCACATTGCAACTCAAAGCTTATAGTACCGCCATAGTGTCGGTCGGTATTCTGATGGAGAAGTCTTTTACCTTCCTAGCATCTATTGCTATGGCCGCTTGGATGATACTCGTATATTCTGCCTGAAAGACTGTGTTGTGGGTACCCAGCGTTTTTTTATTATAGAATAAGGGTGTCAAACGAGCACACAGTCCAACTGATGGTAAGTGGATGCTGTGTCCCATAAAAATCTACATTTATCTTCAATTACGAATCAAAATGCAAATGCGTTGCCAACCCTGAGGACTGAGATGGAATGCTTTGTTTCCAACAAAAGGGGCTCCGGTTCTCTACACTCACCATACGAAACACAGCAGCATTAAGCTGCTATTTTACGCTGGTATTCTGAAAGTGTGGTCTTAACCCGGTCGAGCCGACCCATTCGTGCTGCAACCACAATATAGCTGCAGCATAGCTCTACCACGACACTATAGCTGCAGCATGGCTCTACCACGTTGTACATACATATTATGTGAATATTGAGGTATTGTGAAAAAGTACCTGATCCTATACCTTAATTTGTTTTAGAACCAACCGTGAAAACTCTAAGCACTTTTGGGTTTAATCCCTCCGGCTGGTTGGTTTGATTTACAGTAGGGCCTCGGTAATCCGGACTCACGCTTGTTCGGTGATCGCTGTAATCCGGCGGGTGATGGGCTTCGGGGTGGCGGGCGGATGTAGTTGAGGGCTAACAGTGCCTCCTCAGGCACTGTTATTGTTGGATAATTGTCCTGGGCATCTATCAGCAGATAAACTTGTCTCTGAAGACGGCAACATTTTTGCAATGTTTCTGCCACCCAACACCACGGCGTGTGTACAACCAATGGATCAGAACGTTATACAAAATGTGAAGTTAAATTACCGCAAATCAGTTTTGGTTAACTGTCTTGCATTATGTTCTGAGAACCTCATGGACTCATTAAAATCGATAACTTTAAAGGGACGCAGTTTTTCTTTTGGCTAATTGCTGGGCCAATGTTAGGGCATCGCTAATTAAAAATCATGGAAGAATTTGCACCCTGGATTTCTCACTGATAATGACGAACCAGAAGATGATGTTCCTTTATCCCTGCTTTTCAATAGGTTAAGGGCACCTAATGATCCTCAAATAAGTGAGGCAGAAACTCAAGAAAGGGCTGCTGGCTGTGTCGAAAGTGAGTTAAAAAGATATGAAGTGTTAATTGATGAGGAGTTTGTGCGAGCGGCAATTAGTGTTGCCCAAAATTGGTCTTGGTCTTGTAGTCTTGGTCTTGTTCTTGAATTTTTGCAAGACCAAGACCAAGAACAAGACCGCCTAATTTTAGCAAGACCAAGACCAAGACTGACTGTGCAAGATTTGAGCAAGAACAAGACTAAGCCTGCGAGACTCTTGCGTCTTGCAGTTAGGAATGAGTGTCGTTTCAGGGAGTATAGGAGTTCGGGTATACGCTTAGGGACTCTATGAGACGCAAAAAATATATAAAAAAATTGGAAAATTGGACTTATGCGCATTACGAACAATACCATAAACATACATAGCGGATGAAAATACCCATTAAAAGAAAAAACAGTGCATGCCTAGTTTTGACCATCGGTACCATCGACCTTTGATAGTGCGGCGTCTTGTTGTCGGCATCATCAAAGGTCGAATACTGACCTGTCAAAGAAATTTTGAAGTACAAGGTCAAGATACACGCGCCGGCGGCTTCTATTGATATCGCATTCAATCGTCGCCGCCGCGCCGCACGCACTACATTTGACACTGTTTGAATGCCGCCACAGAGTACATGTTCCAAAGAATAAAATAAGTTTCCGGGTGCTCAGAATGGACACGAATACATTATACTGATCTCGCAAGGAGTATTGTAATTAGATAATGGTAAGGATAGGTAGATACCATAATAATTTATTCTAGTAAGTAATTATTATAATATTAACTGTATGGGTTTATAATAATTACTTAGTATTATTATTATTACCTAATAGATAAACATGTTCAATAAGTTCACTGCAAATCTCGATTTTTGAAAGTGTGTGTTTTTGAATACAAAGTGTTCGAATATGCCGCCACCTATTTGAAAAATATTGTAGACACTTTTAACACACTTGAAACGTGTAAACATTTTGTACAATGCTAATCGAATAATATAAAAAGTGTGCATATTAAATAAAAAGCGTAAAATAAGATCTATGTACTTTTTAGGAGCCCGAGTATCTCTTAGAGAACCGTTTAAAGAAATTGATTGCATCGAATTGATGTAAATAAAAGTGATTTGCACAATTTTAATTGTATAAATAAAAATAAAATCACAATACCTGCTTTCCGGTTACACAAAGTATATAATGCGTTCTTGGGTAGCGATATACGCTTTTATAATAAGATTCCAAAAGAAATGTTAGATCTTTCACCTTTTCAATTTAAGTCAGACAAAAATGCTTAGAACTGACCTCTCGTACTACACAGGACTAACTAGAAATTTCTAAACCGATTTGGTATCTACATATACATTTGACTTATCGCTTTACATAATTGTAGAACTATTGGAACTATTGTAAAAATATTTTGAAAAGAGCAACTACTGAGATACTTACTTTCTTCCATGATTCTTCTCAGTAGAATCAGAACCCCTGGATATTGAAAAGAAAAAATTGGGGAAAACAGTGATTATATGACTAAGTATTCAAAAGTGTATTTTTAATGCCTACTTAAATAAAACATATTTGAATTTTGAATTTCAAACGAGTGAAGGCAAACTTAATTTAATTAACGTAGATTAATTCAATCACAAGAAGAACATAATATACACAATTTTATTTACATATTTACATTTTATATTTACGTAGGCACACTATACCTTTTGTTGCCAGATGCAACGCATCTACTTTATTAATCTTCTGAAGAATCATTAATTTTATTAAAGGATGCCGAACTTTCCTTTGTCGGTCTTTCGGCGTGTACTTACAAATAGTAGTATATATTTTAATTCCAGTCATTCCCAATTGAGCTTTGCTTCGAGTCTAATGTACCTATTAATTGTTTTTACTCTAATCCTTGTTGTTCTTGGAGTGATAAGTTTACAATTTGACATGAGTGACGAAGACTCGAATAGTTCCAGTAGGAGTAGTGAGAGTTGGAGTTATAGATCTAAAAGACCTAAAAGTAAATTTGATGAGTTTTTCGACATAATTCAAGCATCCCAAATTGCTTTGTGTAAATTATGCCAACATAAAAAGGTTGAAATAAAAATGAAAAACAGAAACACTTCAGGCTTAAGGAAGCATCTAACATCTTTCCACAAAAAGTAATCACAAAGATTTCTTCCTGAAAAACCAAAATTAAGTGGAGATATCACAAGCTTTTTAATAACCACCGTAAAAAGTGGACAGGTAAAAAATATATACTTATCACACAATTACATAACACATATATTATGTAACTAGCGGCCGCCTGCGACTTCGTCCGCGTACAATATCTGATTTCCTATGAGATTTTGAAATTTTCTCGCTGCAAAAGTCTTACCTAAGTATAAAGAGGCTATATAGGTAAAGCTTAACTATGCAAGTATTTATTATTTAAAACTAATAAAGTAAATGTCGATCTTCATATCTATACTTTAAAAATATAGGACTTGCATGTAACCATTTTACCCCAATTTCACCCCCTTAGGGTTAGGATTTCGTGTACACTTGTGTCGTGTTCGTAAAACAGCTTATTTAGGATTTTATTATTGAAAACTTATAACTTTAATGCCGATGTTCGTGTCTCTAACTTCGAAAACGTAGGACTTTCATAAAAACTTCCAACTCCCAGTTCACTCCCTTAGGGACAGATTTTCTCAAAACCGTTTCTTAACTGATCTCTATGCCATAAAAGGAACCTACCTTACAAACTTCAAGTTTGTATGTTTTATAGTTCCTAAGATATCGTTATAGTCAGTCATTGAGTGGTAGTTATATACATATATATATATATATATATATATATATATATATATATATTTTTTTTAGATTATAGTGTTAAATATGTATTTATAATTCACTCATATTTTCATTTGTTTTTATAATCGGCGAGACACATGATTTACTGTTTTATTTCAGTCTGAAAATAGCAGTGACAACATCAGGACAGCTACAGTTGGTTGGATGGTTAAAAAATATCTTCCCTTCTCATTTTTCGATGACGAAACTACACAAGTATATTTTCGATCAATTTGCCCAAATATGGTGTTTCCTAAAAGGTCCACACTTAGAAGGAAGCTCAAAGAACGGTTTGAAGAGCTGCAATTGAATCTTAAGAAACGACTACAACAATTTTCATCTAAAATGTCATTTACCATTGATGGATGGACGTCAATTGCTGGTAGGAGTTACTACGGGGTCACTATTCGTTATATAGACAACGAATGGAAGTATCGATCTGCAGTCCTTGATTTTTATACCATCACGCGGTCGACATACTGGGGAAGATATTGCAACGATTCTCCAAGAATGTTTATTGGAATATGACATAATTGATAAAATACAGGGTATCACGGTCGACAACGCAACTGCAAATACCAAATTTATGTATGAATTGGACAAACAGCTGCCACACTTTGATTCAGACAATCAACATTTCCGGTGCTTTGCTCACATTTTGAACCTTGGTGTACAAGATTTATTAAAGACCTTAGCATTACACAGTGAAACTGACAATAAGGGACAAGAACAGCAGTATGAAGATAATGAAGACGAAACTGAGGAAGATGAAGAATATGCGCCAAATATTGCTGACTCACGTACAGCTATAACAAAATTACGCAGTATTTCCAGTAAAATAAAAAAGAAATGAGATATTGAAGAGGAAGTTTTAGTCTGCTTGTGAAGCAGCTGGCGTGCCATCAAATCTGAACCCATACTCGACTGTCCAACGAGTTGGAATTCCACACATGATATGATTGGATTTGGTTTAAAAGTGAAAATTGGTATTAACATATTGTGCACTTCTGTCACCGAATTAAATGATTTTCAAATCACAGATAGTGAATGGCAAATACTCGAAAAAATACATAAGTTTCTAATAAACTTTAAACTTCTTTCAACGAACTTGGTGGAGAAAAATATGTTATATTACCGCTAATCATTGTATCATTCAATCTCTTGCTCGATAAAATTGAATCCATGGTAAAACAATTAAATCCGAATAGAATCCGATTAGAAAAGAGAGAAAGGTGTCACTTCTGACACCTTTCTCTCTTTTCTAATGGGCCTTAAATTGTCCATATTATTTACGTGTTTGAACCAGCTTCCCATTCTTCATGGAGCCCGCATCTTTGAGAACGCCCTAATATAGAACAAAACAATTTCAGGCGTTAGGAACACATACAGAACACACACAGCGCGACATCGGGTGCTCGATCCGCCTGACAGATAGGTCTGAAAAGGCCTATCCCCACTGCCCGAATAGACTGTCACTTACTCCGTCAGCATGATCTTTACCACTGCCTAGCCCTTTTCAGGGAAACTAGGCAGCCTCCACGTCCCTCGCCTGCGACCCTCTGACGAGGCACTTGGACATTTCCCTGTCAGTGACTAGCAAATATGGCCACCGTTTAGCTTGAAATCCGGACCAATGCGGGCGTGTTGCTTCTCGCCACTATATACGCCAGTGACGATCGGCTCAATCTAGTGCGGTGGATATGTTAATCCACCGATACACCCACTCTCTCCGGCGGAACCATCCCTCCTCTTTTATCCGGGCTTGGAACCGACTGCACCAAAAATCACAAGCAGGGTTTGACAGAGCTGTAACGGTAAAGGTATACACAAACTGCTAAGGTTAAACAGAGCAGCTGGCCGTTACTGAGACCCAGGTGTCCTCCGGCTAATACATCTTATCTATCCAACCATATATGAACACTCCTTTTTACAGGTTATTCCGTTTATCCACCCTAGAGTGGATATTCCGAAACGCGTGTTCTGTCGCGGAATAATCGGAATCCGTATATTATTTTTCTTCCGATTTTCTTCCCCGGCTATGTATGGTCATTTATAGAATACATACCTACTTATAGAAATGAAAATAAATACATTTTGCAGAAATGCATGCAGAAAAACAAACACATTTTTGATGATTCAATGAGTTTATTTAGGTAAACTTATATGTATATTATTTAGTAAAATGGATTTGTGTTACATATATTAAACCGCCAAGATTTCTTTGTATTTGTTTGAAATTAAAAAACCAGCACAAATTTTAATATTACAAGTGTTCGCGGTGACCACTCCAAGTATAATATATTTGTGCTAAGAATGATTTACGACGGAAGTTAAATGGTAGATTCGAACGCACTACTAAGGTTTGCGGGTTGTACCAATTTGATTTATCATTAGGTTCTTTTTAATATTTAAACAATCAAAAAGGCATTTTACATTGTCAAAAATAAAACTTTAGGTCTTTAGGGAACAACTTGATCATACTTTTTGCAAACAATTCAGACTCCCAAAATAATGTAGTTAAAATAAGCTATATAACTTAATTACATAAAAAACAAGCTATATAATAATAATTTGACATCTTAATATTTTAGTTTTGGACAATTTAGAGAAAAATGATTTGAATTGCACTTTTATCAGAAAACTATTAAAATTAAATTAAAATACCGTTTTACAACAAAATAAATAGGGTGTGAGAGCGATTTCTTCTATCCTCAATATTATTTTGCTTAAAAATAACTACAGCTTCGATTATAATAAAAACAACCTATTATTGACTATGTTATTATACACTTAACTACTGTTACATTGGTTTCGAGATCGTATCATCATTTCTTATTGAAATACGCGAGACGAAATATTAATGGGCGGAGTCGCTCGCTTATTACCATCAGGCAACTTAGATGCTCGGTTTCCCCTCTTTAAGATGAAAAAGTTCACAAACATACACAGATATCCTTTTAAAAAACTAGAATGTCGTGTATGGATCTCAAAACGAGGTGACTTGCAATTTATAATTTGTAAATGGGAAGTTAATAAAAGTAAACATATTATTTGTATAATTAGTTTGGTAAATTCCCAATTCCAAATCAATAGGAAAAGAAAGTTCGCAAGTGAAGCCCGGCGGCGGCTAAGAGTCAGGACGCAGTTATGACAATCTATAGAAGAGGCCAATGTTTCACAATCACAATGATAATGTGACTATATCAATCTACTTGTAATTCGAATGAAAACATAATTTTCCGAATAAAATCTTACTATAGCATGCATACTACAATCCATTCCCTACAATGGGAGATGTCCGTGTCCGTAACCTACATCAAATAGCTGGATTGTTACAGACTGACGGATAAGGAAGATACGAATTGAAATGTTTCATTGTTTAAAACTAAATTACAAAAACTAAATTAAATGATATTATTTTTCACGGAGTTAGTCGTGTTTAGCTTATACTACGTAGATTAGACCAAAAATTAATATAAATATGTCATATAATTGCATGACATATAATGTAAGGATGTAGAGCACCAGTCTCTCCGTGACCGCGGGTTCACCACAAAACGTCGGCAATATAAAAACAAATTAAACGCAATAAAGTACAGAAAAATTACTAACGTATAATTCAATGTGTTAAACTAATTCAAATTAAATTGACATATTTTTTATTAAGTACTAACAAACATAATAGTACGGTCTAAAAGCTGATACTATTGATCAAAATTAGAATATTAAATATACATAAAGTATTTAATATGCATTATTCTTTTTGAATGGAAGTAACTATAAAAGCATTAAAAGCAGGTATTCAGCAATAATTAGTAGGTGTGCTATATACAATATATAACGTAATTAACGCACTTTGAGAAAGTAGTTGGTTCAGAATCGTTTACTGAATCGATTCCTATCATTTTTCATATAGGTAATTTTTTATCCCAAAAATAATTAAAACTACGTAAATTACAGTCACACTAAATCTGTACAGTCAAAACAAACTGAAATGGACCGTAACATAAGGCAATAAGACTTAAGAGTGCAGTTTTATTTGTATTATTACTAATTCTGTCATTCAATAAAAAAAATGAACTTTATTTCAAACAGTCTTTGTGTTCGTGTATTTGTACTGTGACCACAACATTCTTCCGGAATTAGTATAACTAATTTGATAAATAATCAGTGCATAAAAATGTTTAACTAAAAATTCAGTGTATGTGATTATAACGTAATATACTAATTAGGGTGTCTGAGGGTGTGCATTAATTACGTTACATATTGTATATAGTGACTGCCTCGTTGGTCTAGTGGTTGTAGTAGTGCGACTGCTGATCATGAGGTCCTGGGTTCGAAACCCGGGTCGGGCCAAAAATTATTGAATTTTTCCGTCAAGAAATTCTCAGTAGTTGCCCGGAGTCAGGAAGTTGGCGGTGTCTCACCCCGTGCCTTGTAAAGCACGTAAAGCCGTTGGTCCTGCGCTTGATCTCTCTCCGGTCGTGTCGGTTTACCGTCCCATCGGATTATGTAATGCTGTCGATGTCTAGTATTCGTTGAGGCAGGCCGCCGTAGCCGAAATTCGGTCTGGAGGACATTATTATTATTATATATATATATATATATATATATATATATATATATATATATAGTTTAGCACAATGCCGCAACCAGTGACGAAGCCTCCATAGAAGCCGAACAGCCAAGCTTGCTCTATCAAACTGCTCAATCAATAATATCAACTAATAAAATACCTCGTAAACTGTTTCAAACTATTTCAAATTTCCTGCGCGCTCCTCTGTTCTACACAGGTCATGATCTCGTAGCATATATGTAACGTCAACACTTGGCAGTTTGCTTTCAATTCGAAATACACTGATTCGTGTTCTCTCTGCTCAAAGCGAACACACTGTCAAAATTAATGAAAGTAACGAGTTCATTTGAGCGATTAGTCGTCTCTCTCGCACGCGTGGGCTTTTTACAGGCTTTCGAGAAGACGATCGCTCCCTTTCTAACCTGCGGCAAAATGTTCTATAATGAAATATAACTACGATATGTTTATATAGCAATTACTATGGAACCAAAATTCGGGCTTTGCTCTGAAGTTGTTTCCGAGTGCGCGGGCTCGCGGGCGATACGTTTGCAAGTTCACTTCACATTTCAATGTTTATGTTTGTATTTTTGATGTATCTGTTGAAAATTTATTCTTTTTTAAAGATTTTTAGTGAAAATGGAGGATAATAGTATTCGTTGTGATGAATTGAAGTGTTTTAAAGTGCTAATCGGCGAGGAAAAGGCGAAAAAAAATCTTTAAACTTTGTTGAGAAAATACACAAGGTCAAGAGCATCTTTCGTACTTATTAATTAAAACAATTGAAAAACAGTTATTGGTATAATTAAAACATTAACCAACATTTTACGCGGACGTAATCAAACCTTTCCTTAAGAAAGAGAGACCATTTAATTTAGATATAGATGATTTTTTTTTTAATTTTGGACATAGTTTATTTGTACATTGTTCATGCATAGTATTGTATGTAAATATCTTTTTCTTTCGCTCAAGCAAACCCAAACAACTTTCTTCAAAGCCACCGAAAGTATGCAATTGCTTATATGACATACCATCTATCTAGCAGTAGTATGCCTTCTGTGTGCTTTGTTAAACACGTCCTCGACAGCACCGAATATGAAACTGAAGAGTGGAGACAGATCAAGATAGGTGTGTTTTTATAAAACAGCTAAAAACAACAAAACCATATCTTGGCCTTGCTCTAGTTTGGAGCTTCGCCACTGGCCACAACTTACTATCGACTAGAACATACAGACTATTTTTATAAATTTAAATGACCCAATTCTGTAAGACTACAGAATTCTAAGATACATTGTGTGACGGCCTATATCTCACATTAATTATTGCAGTCAACCATGATATACAAGATAAGATAATAGACAAATTATAAAAATAACTATTTGCTTACATTTCATGTTTAATATTTTATAAATTTTGATTTTATATATGAATGTACCTCTAGAACATATCACACTTACATAAAGTTGTTTTTAATCCTTACCTAAGTTTCAAAGTTAAATATACAGCTCAGTAAATTATCATTCTTACAAATACTTCATTACATTTGTTACAATTTGAGCAAATTTTCACGTAAAAATTAAGATATGATTTAATAAATATTTTAATTTTAATGTGGGAATTTATTTATGATCGTAACATGCTAAAGCAATTCTATATTAAGGATATTATTAAAATTATAGAGGTGTGAAGTGAACATTTGGTTCAAATCTGTACAATTCAAATATCATTTTCATAATTAATTTAATTATAATAAAATAAATTATTCTAGGGCATAAAAACATTATACTATTAATTACAACTATTAATTTATTTAACTATTCAATAACAGTTTCAGTCTAATAACCACTAATCCATACATATTGCCATATGAAAATCGAAAAATATATGAGTAAAATGCATTAAAATGCTTCTAAAATGGCCATATTATTGCAGCTATAAGTGGTTGAAATTAAAGAAACAAAAATGCTAATTCAAGTCGAAGTGGCATTCTGAAGTTACTTTTACACATTAAGTTACTTATATATATATGCGTATGTGTATATATATATATATATATATAGCTTGCCAGGCAGACGTTGTTCTGCCCTTTTCGACGACACTTTTTTATGTCCTATTAAAAATCCTTAAATTCCAAAAAAAAAAATGCGGGGCACTCATGGACAAAAAAAACTATCCTATCTCTCAAGTTGGGCCAAACTGCACATGGTGTGCAAATTTGATTAAAATCGGTTAAGTAGTTTAGGAGTCTATCGCGGACAAACAACGTGACACGTAATTTATTTATATATATATATATATATATATATATATATATATATATATATATGTATATATTAAGAAGATATATCTTTCACTTAGCATAGTTTTACGCTAATTAAAGTATAGCAGCTATATTGGTAGTATAGTTGTAACACGAATGGGTCTACTCGACCGGGGATGGACCACACTCTCACAGAATACCAGCGTATAATAGCAGCTTAACACTGCTGTGTTTCGTACGGTGAGTATAGAGAACCGGAGATCTTTTTTACTAGGAACGAGGCATTCGATCTTAATCCTTACGGGTGACAAAGCATCTGCATCTTCATTCGTAATCCAAGAAAGATGTAGATGTCTATGTGTCACAGTAACCATTTACCATCAGATGGACTGTATGCTAGTTTGTCACCCTTATTCTATAAAAAAGACATGTCTTTTTTTCAATAGTCCAAAGTAATCTGAACTAGCCATTGTTGTCCTGATTTTATAGCCGAGATATATAGTTCCTAGCCATATTCCATATTTCTGTGAAAACCGGGCCATAGCAATCAATAATGCAATCACACATTGCCTATTTTCAGTTTAGAAGCACCTTAATAATTAATATTGTACATTTTGTACTCTTGATTATCTCATAATTAAATTTAAAAGTCAAATTCACTTATCTATAAATAATTACAATAAATTTATAATCTTTAATTAGTCCTACATGGTAATTTACTTGAGGGTGGACTATCTAAATCTATGGAGCTTGTGGAAGTGCTAACACTTTCATCAACATCTGGTGTGTACATTGCTAAATTTCTTCTTTTAAATATTTTTTTATTTGATGGCGGAGTACTCATGTTTTCAGGTGTATTGTTTAAAGTATCACACAAAACTGGAGTATTTGGTGAACAGACAAAATCTGAATTGGAAAAGTCTTTATTCACCATAGGTGTAACCGGCGCTGGTAAAGAGAGCTTAGAACATTTAAAAGGTGTACTTATTGGGCTATTATCAATGCTTATGTTGGAATCATTAATATACGGTTGTTTCATAGTCCTTCCTGCTCTAGCCATTATCACTTGTAGTGGATCATCTATACCTAGTTTTTCACAGAGAGAAACAGTTTGAGGGTTCATTATAGGTTCTAATGACACGCTTTTTGGTGCCCCTGGCTTATATACAGGAGCTGTCTTGACAAATGAGTCATTTGTTATTGTTAGCGTCTCCATTAAATGCACAATGTTTAACTTTTCTTCTTTCGTAGGACTAAATAAATACCTGAAAAAAAAACAACATATTAATATGAAGCTC